GCAGCGCAAAGTCGTCGCCTTGCCTGCGACGGAGGCAATGCTCAACGGCCACGAGCAGCTGCGAGAGCCAGGCCTCGCGTTCCCCATTTCGCAGGACAGGTGTAGGAAGGCCTGGCACCAGGCTCCGGCTGGCGGAGGCCGGCCCGACTTTGGGCCCCCCCGCTCGCTGAAGCACGCGGGCGCAGCTGCCTTAGTTGCCTCGAGCGGCAGTCTGGAATCAGCTCGACGCAAGGGCCGCGGGCAGACCGCGCCGAGGCGCGCCGCGCGAGAGTGCGCGTCTTGGTCGAGCAGCTCAGCCGCATGAGTCAAGACCTGGCGCCGCGTGGAAGGGCTGCCTGGCGGGCGCCAGCCGAGCGCGTCATCGAGGCCATCCCGAGGTCAGATGCGGTGGACACGCCGCTGGCAGCTGCCTCGTTGGAGGGATGGCGCTCGCGACGGGCGTCACGGTCGAGCAGCCAGCCATCGGCGGCGCGGCGTTTACCGCGGGAGTTGAGACCGCGCGCGGGCCGTCCACGCCGGGGCGGACATTGGGCCGACGGCTTCTTCGGCCACCGCTATCTTTTGACATAGCTGGAGCCTCGAATGGAGGTGGGCGCGCGCCCTTGTCTTCCTCGCGCCCTCTCCTTATGATAGGCAGCTATTAATGCCAGAGGGCCAAAGAAGGTACTTCCAAAAGGGTGTAGAGCGACAGCCTGGATCGTGCCAGGATTTCTCAGGGTTGGAAGAGGCGCAAGTGCCAGTCTGGCGAAGGTCGGAGGTGGGGTGCAGCATCTGTTTTTGTTCGAGGGCCCGCCCGAACCCCGCGGTTCGGTCAGTTGCCGCGCCTGTCTTGACGCGTTGGGCCCGCGTGGAGGGCGAGGTTGCTGGTAAAAAAACATGTTTCGTGGGTGGGCCTTCCTCATGAACTGGCTCGCAGCAACATAGTGCAGTATCGTCGTTTGTTTCGGCACTGTCCTGTATAGTCTTAGAGTCGTCGCTCTATCCCGCCTGCCTCTCTATAAAAAAATATTGTTGCGCATGTAGGCTAACATGTTAAGCAAGGTATTTGGCCTGCGCCCTCCGGACCATGCGCGTTCAAGCCGGGCTCTCAAATTTAGAGCCGAATGAGCCCATGCTCGTTTGAAAACACATGTTTGCACTAACCCTGAAACGTTTGGAACTCCGTTTGTCTATGCAAATTCAGATTGCCCGCTTGGCATGTCTGTGTACTGTGGCCACACTTTCGGTTCCCACCCTACCCCCACTCGGGCTTGCATGGCCCCTGGGGTGCAGCATTTTTCGTTTCTTTTCCCGACGGCCCCGCCGAGGCCTGCGACTCGGTCAGGTGCCACGCACGTCTTGCCACACATGTCTTGAAGTGTTGGGCCTTCGTCGAGGGCGATATTGCTGGCGAGAAGAATTTTCGAAGGGTGCCCCTTCTCCCGAGCTGGCCCGCAACACAATACTACATTATCTTCGTTCGTTTTGGCACTGCACTGTATAGTCTGAGGGCTGTCGCTCTACCCCGCCTTCCCTCAGAACAATATTGCTGCACCTAGGGGCTGCTGAGTGCAGCGATATGATATGTTCGGCCTGCACGTTCCGAGGCATGAATACATCTACACACGCACACACATCTATATATATATATATATATATATATATCTCAGAGTGAGGGGGCCGAACGGTCATTCACTGTCCCTGGGTGCGTGGCTGATGTGGAATTCCGCGGTGCGGATTGTTGTTGTTGTTGTTGATGTTGTTGTTGGTGTTGGTGTTGTTGTTGTTGTTGTTGTTGTTGAATATTATTACTTCTCAAGAATAATTATTGTTGGGCCCCCTGGTGCACGCCCCCCTCGCCGCGCCTAGGCCGCAGCCACATTTTCATCATTTTCGTGAGGAAGTCTCAGGCAAAACGATGTGTCCAGATCCGGTTGTTTTGTTGACGCCCGCTTTCCCTGTCAAAAAACAATATAAAATGACATGTCTTGTTCTAACATAACCAAACTTCAAGAATCCTTTGCAAAAAATGACACGAAGTGCACACTCGCGCGCGCAAGATGAAATCCTTCCAAAACCTTAGTTTTCGTAGCGATTTTAACATAAAAACATGAAAACCCAATGGTTTTTCAAAAAAAAAGTTTCAAAAATTCATCCCGCGCGCTCTTGCGGATTTCTTAGGAAACCCAATACTTTTTCAACATTTCTGTCAAACGGGCTCTTGCGAGCAATTGTTTCACGTGCTCCGAACTTCTGCAACAACGGTTGCGCGCCTGCCAGGGCCATCATCCCTGTCAAATAATACCATATGGGACACATTCGTTTTTTCTTCGCGCGCGCACGCCGAAATCTTCAAACACCATTGGGTTTCTTAAGAATTTCAGCACCGCGTATCATAAAATCGCACGAATCGCACCGTAGGTCCTCGAAAAACACGTGCACGGATTTTCAAAATTTCTACCCGCGCGCGCTGTCCGAATCCTTAAAAACCAATGGTTTTTCAACATTTATGTTACATGAGCTCGCGCGAGCTACTTTCGCAAGCTCTTTCAACGGCGTTCGCGCGCCTGCCAGGGGCCACAATCCGCCAGTGTAGTAGCCACGCGCCAGTGTAGTAGCCACGGTCGTCCGCAGGCCACGAAGTGAAGTGTCCGAACGTCATAGGGCGGGAAGCTGGGTGTGGGTGGTGGCGAAGAGTCGTTTGGAAATGTGGTAGAGCTTGAACCGGCCCCCCCACAAAGTGGGGGTATTGGCGGGCGTCGTATGAAAACCCTGGCACTGGTGAGAACGGAGTGTCCCCACGTGCTAGTAATTGTTGTTGTTGTTGTTGTTGTTGTTGTCGTCCCACCCGCAACCCGCCCCGCGACCCACCCGCGACCCACCCCGCGACCCCCCGCGACCCACCCGCGACCCACCCGCGACCCACCCCGCGACCCACCCCGCGACCCACCCCGCGACCCACCCCGCGACCCAACCCGCGACCCACCCCGCAACCCCCCCGCGGCCCACCCCGCGACCCACCCGCGACCCACCCGCGACCCACCCGCGACCCACCCGCGACCCACCCGCGACCTACCCCGCGACCCACCCGCGACCCACCTTCGACCCAAACCACTTTCAAGGTACAAACCACAATTTTCGGCGCCTGCGGCGGGTTTTTTTGCATTCCTTCCAAGTGGAGAGCCCGCGACACATCCCGTGACCAACTCGCGAGACCAACCCGCGACCCAAACCGCGTTCAGGGTACAAACCACATTTTTCGGCGCCTGCGGCGGGCATATTTTGCATTCGCTTCAGGTGGAGAGCCCGCGGCCCACCCGCGACCACGTTCAGTGTAAAAACCACATTTTCGGCGCTTGCGGCGGGCATCCTTTGCATTCGTTCCCTGTGGAGAACCCGCGGCCCACCCGCGACCCAAACCTCGTTCCGTGTACGAACCAATTTTTGTTGGCGCTTGCGGCGGGCTGCTTTTGCATTCCTTCCAGGTGGAGGTGGAGAGCCCGCGACCCACCCGCGACCTAAACCACGTTCACTGAACAAACCAATGCCGCACAAGCGCGGCGGCGGATTCTTGCATGCCGTCTGAGCCCGCAAGGACCTCTTCACGCCCCGCACATCCACGCCAGCCCGTCCAGCAACTTTGCCCTGGCGAGTTGCCTTAATCAGAGAAGGCGGGGAGCATAAAGTGGAACAAAAGGATTGCGTTGCAGTTATCTTGGGAAAGGAGGGGGAGGCAGGATGAGTAAACAGGGGACGAGGAAAACGTGGAAGAAGAGAGGATGTAAGGAGAACGTGGAGAAAGAAAAGGAGGAGGAGCAGGAGGACGAGGGGGAGGAGGGGGAGGAGGGGGGGGAGGAGGACAAGGAGGGGGAGGATGGGGAGGATGATGATGATGGACGACAATGGGAGGACGATGATGGAGGCCGATGAGGGGGAGGACGACAATGGGAGGATCATGATGAAAAGACGAGGGGGGGAGAGGGAGGACGAGGAAGAAGAGGAGGAGGAGGACGACCAGGTGGAGGAGGACGATGACGATGACGATGAGGACGAGGAAGAGGAGGAGGAGAAGGAGGAGGAAGAGGAGGAGAAGGAGGAGGAGGAGGAGGTGGAGGAAAGCGCCATCGACAAGGAAGGTGGGGGCCACGAGGTCCGCTGGCTCGACGACGCCCGCGTCGCCCGCGCCCGCCCCCTCACTCTTATCCGCAATTGCAGGGCGCTACGTATATACATGTGTGTGCGTGCGTGCGTGCGCGCGTGCGTGCGAGCGTGAGTGTGTGTATGCTGTGTGTGTTGTGTGTCTGTGTCTGTGTCTGTGTCTGTGTGTGTGTCTGTGTGTCTGTGTGTCTTTGTGTGTGTGTGTGTCTGTGTGTCTGTGTGTGTTTGTCTGTGTGTGTGTGTGTCTTTGTGTGTGTGTGTGTCTCTGTGTGTGTCTGTGTGTGTCTGTGTGTGTGTCTGTGTGTGCGTGTGTGTGTGTGTGTGCGTGCGTGCGTGTGTGTGTGTGTGTCTGTGTGTGTGCGTGCGTGCGTGCGTGCGTGCGTGCCTGCGTGCGTGCGTGTGTGTGTGTGTGTGTGTATGTGTGTTTGTGTGTGTGTTTATGTGTGTGTGTTTGTGTTGTGTGTTGTGTGTTTTGGGTTGTGTGTTGTGTGTTGTGTGTTGTGTGTTGTGTGTTGTGTGTTGTGTGTGTTGTGTGTGTGTTGTGTGTTGTGTGTTGTGTGTTGTGTGTTGTGTGTTGTGTTTTGTGTTTTGTGTTTTGTTTGTTCTGTGTGTGAGTGCGTGTGTGTGTGTTCAAGCCTGGCTCTCAAGTGTAAGGGCGAATGTGCACATACAAATCGACATTGATTCCCACTAGAGCCTGTGAACAAAAAAAACATCAGAAATGGAGGGGGAAACGGACAACCCATAAAATAGATCGGAAAATGTGCAAGTGTGGAATTCGCGCCGATGTGTTTGTGTGTGTGTGTTTCCTGGGGCCCCTGCATCGGCCCCCGATCCTCCGATGCTCTTCGAACCTCCCTCAGGACGCAGCGTCGGCACGCTCCCCGCGCGAACGCGGCGGCCCGCGGGCCCAGGCGCCCTCGGGGCCGCGGCCGCCGCCGCCCGTCCGGCGACCGCACCGCCCTCGGCGTCGCGCAGGGCCCGGACATTCGGGCCGGGCGAAAGGGGGGGATTGGAAAAGGGGGGGTTACGAAATTTGCTGCATGCAGCTGGTTTCGGCCTCACCGAGGGGCCCATTCCTCGATACATAGCCGCTTCCGGCGCCAGGAGGCGCCGGGAAAATCAGCTACGTGAGCTGATTCTCAAACCCCCCTTTGCTTTCCCCCCCTTTCGCCCGACCCGGACATGTTCGCGCCGTGATTTCAGACCTCCACTGCTAAAACGACGCGAAGATCGGGACAAAATCGGATCGGGATAACTCGAAGTCTCTGAGAATCGGCGGGTTTGGAGGACGTATTGGGCGCCGCGGCCGTTCCAGAGCGTGCCGGAACGCTCTGAGAGCGCTCCAGAACGCTCTGGAGCGATTTATCCCGATCCTAGCCCTGTTTTAAATGCTTGGTCGGCCATGCGCAGAAGGGGTGTAGGGGGACTGGGGGAGAATTCTTAGAAGCACCTCTGCTTCGTAGAAGGCGCGGGCCTTGTCTGTAGATGTAAAGCTGGCGCCTTCCAAGAAGCAGCCTGCTTCTAAGAAGCCTGGCCCAGAAACCGCCTACCCCCCTCCGCGCGCCGCCAACTTTCAAAATTCTGCGCGCGACGCTTGATCATCAATTTCAGCCCTCAGGGGCCATCACCAGGCTCCGGGACCGTCAGAAAACGATGCAGGGTGCAGACGCGGTGCTGGGGAAAGGGTCGGGACTTTTGGGCACACCGTATTGAGCAAAAATGCGGCGTATCTCGTGGGGGAAATCTCGACGGAAGGTTTTGACAGTTCTCAAGCGTTTCTTCGTGTCCCGAGGGTGCCCTGGAAGCGCCCCTTTGGGAGGCAGCTGGCGCCCAAAAGGGGCCCCTAAGGGCTCCTTTTGGGTCCTTTTCTTCACCCCCCCTTTGGGTCACCCCCCATGGCCACCCGCCCGAGCAGGGAAGCAGGAGGACGAGGAGCACGAAGACGAGGACGGACAGAGGGGGGGGGGAGGCAGGAGGGGGAGAGAGAGGCGTGGGAGCAGGGGGGCAGGAGGAGGAGGAGGAGGAGGAGGAGGAGGAGGAGGAGGGAGGAGGAGGAGGAGGGGAGGAGGAGGGGGAGGAGGAGGAGGAGGAGGTGCACGGGGCGGCGGCCGTCGCGACCACCTGGCGCCTCCCCTAGGCGCGAGGGGAGGCGGCCGCCTGGAGCGCTGCACGCGCTGTCTTGGTGGGCCCGGGGGGCTGTCCGAGGACTCTCGCCTCGCAGCTTCGGGACGGGGTGCAGGAGGAGGAGGAGGAGGGGGAGGAGGAGGAGGAGTAGGAGGGGGAGGAGGAGGGGGAGGAGGAGGGGGGGAGGAGGGGGAGGGGGAGGGGGAGGAGGAGGGGGAGGAGGAGGGGGGAGGAGGAGGAGGAGGAGGAGGAGGAGGAGGAGCAGCAGGAGGAGGAGGAGGAGGAGGAGGAGGAGGAGGAGGAGGGGGAGGAGGAGGAGGGGGAGGAGGGGGAGGAGCAGATGCCGAAGAAGAAGAAGAATAACAAGAAGCAGCATCCATGGCTCGAGCTAGACTGTGTTCTGGCGATTTCGTGGACCGTTTTCGTTTTGTATTTGTTTCGCAGCAATTTCGGAACGAAGCCAGAACGAGGAAAAGCGAAAACAAAACGGAAACGAAACCCTGATCAACATCAATTTTCGGAGCTCCGCGCAGAGTGCTTGGATCTGCGCTGGGCCCCCCTGGCGGTGTCTCCGGCGCCGCCCCTCCGCGCGCGGCAGGGAGGGGTGGTCCAGCTCCGATCCGAGCAGTCTGCGCGAAGCTTCGAATGTTTGTGCTTACGGTCGGCAGATTTTTGGACAACGTGCCGCTCCGCTGGCTCTGGCCCACCTCGCTGCGGCGCGACACGCTGTCCACGTCCAAGTCCCAGAGCGTCAACTTCCCGAGCCTGTCCCAGCCCGCCGCCCCGCGGAGCGGAGAGGAGCGCTACCCGCTGGCAGGGTATTGCGTGTCACCGGGGCCGCCGCCGCGACACGCTAAGCGAGAATTCTGGACCGTATGCCCATGGTTTTGCTACGGATGCGAGCACGATGGCACGACGCAGGAGGAAGGAGGAGGAGGCAGGAGGGGGAGGAGGCAGGAGGGGGAGGAGGCGGGAGCAGGACGAGCACGATCAGGAGGAGCAGGAGCAGGAGAAGCAGGGGTCCCTCGCCAGGGATAGCGCGCGAGACCCCGCCCCGCCTGCGAGAGGCCTTCCGCGTGCTGCGCCTTGTCGCCTCGTCGCCCGTGGAGGGCGCTGACGTGGGCGACGCGCGGCGGGGGCTTGCTCTGCTGCGCGTGTTCCGCATCTGCTGCAGGGGCAGGAGGGGGCCAGGAGGGACGCCTTGCCCCAGAGCTCCCAGGGTCATGGAAAAAATCCGACGGGAGGTGCTTCGTGCTTTGCTAGTTTCATCAGCCTCAGGGGGTCCTCGCCTGGGGAACGAAAACAACAACGTCTCAGGATGAAAAACCAGTCCCGGGGAATGGGTCGAGACCTTTTGGGATCGACGTCGCGAAAAATCATTACGTCGGGGGTCTGGGGCCTGGGTGGTAAGACTTCGGGCTGCATACAGACTGTCCCCCCCATGTAGTCTTAAGTCGGTCCTGTCCCCTTACAGGGGGATGTTCGACGAAAAATAAAAATACCAAAAATAGTCAAAGCATAATCAAAACATCATATGGGGACTATTTTTGGAATATGTTTCGGCCCTTTGGGGGTATTTTGAGGGTATGTTTTATGTTTCGTCGAAAATCCCACTGGGAGGGGACACGCCCGACTGAAATGTAGTCCCGGCTGGCCTCCACAGGCCCCCCCCCCTCCCGAGTAAGCCGGGGCGGTCTCTTCACCCTGGCGCCGCGTCGAGACATTCGACCGCCCCAGGCTTTTGGGGGGGGGCCAGCGGAGGCCCGCCAGGACCAACTGAGGGGGGCTGTCTGTGCGCGGCCCGAAGCCTTACCAGGGCTGGGAGGAGGAGGAGGAGGAGGAGGAGGAGGAGGAGGAGGAGGAGGAGGGAGGAGGAGGAGGAGGAGGTGGAGGCGGAGGAGGAGGAGGAGGAGGAGGAGGAGGAGGAGGAGGAGGAGGAGGTGGAATTGATTGATTGGTGTATTGTGTTACGGTGCAGAGAAGGTGGAGGTTCGTTTGGACCCTCCTGTACGCACGGTTTCGTTGGCCGAGGGTCCAGAGAGGCTCGGATCACGAGCCCCACTGGCGAGCCCCATGGGTAGGGGGCTCCCGCCCGAGAATCCCCCGCTCTTCAGTCACAGACGACAGCCCCGCTCGAGACATCCGCCACATGGACTGAGGAGTCCAAAAGTGCCGATATTTCCAGGTGTGAGGATGACCCCTTATCATATTGAACACATGAGGTGCGGGACCCATAGAGAGGGGGATCCCGCCTGATATTTCTTGGCAGTTCACTCACAGACGAAGCTCCCGCTTAAGACTTCCTCAAGGTGTGTGTGTGTGATAGTGCGTGGGTGTGTGAGGTAGTGAGTGAATGCATATCTGCAATGATGATCCTGATCATGATCATGATCATGATGCTGATGATGCTGATCGTGATATGATAATGGTGGTTATGATGATGACGATGGTGATAATGGTGACTGGGATGCTGGTGATCATGGTGATGATGGTGATGGCAGAGATGACGATGATGATGATGATGGTGGTGATGATGATGTTGATGACGATGGTGACCATGGTGATGGCAGAGATGATGGTGACGATGATGATGATGATGATGATGATGATGATGGTTATGATGGGATGGTGGTAGTGATGATGATGACGATTGTGGTGCGATGCAGATAGTCATAGTGGAGGCCCATGCCAAGAAACACCCTGTTTGTCTCCAGGGTGCCCCGGGTTTCTTGGGTTTCAGTGGTTTTGCTGTGGAACGCGTGATGTTCTCGGGCCAAGAATCAAGGGACGTCCTGGGGTCTCAGGGTAGGGTTTCTTGTGGAAGGTTTGTTGTGGAAGGACCCCTACTGTATGATGGTGGTGATGGTGGTTGTGAATGTGATGAGTGCGACCGGAGAAGAGAAAGAAATGAGGGTGTGGTAGGACTGCGCTGGGTGCGCAGATAAACAACAACCCCACTTAGGATGTGGGGAACAACACGAAGGAAAGATGTGAGGGCACCGCTGGACGCTGTCAGGGGGGACAGGAGCAGCGCGATGGGCAGGCGGATCAGGGGGAGGGCGAGGGCGGGGTGGGGTTCGAAGGGCAAGTGGGAAAGCGGAGGGAGGAGGAGGAGGAGGAGGAGGAGGAGGAGGAGGAGGAGGAGGAGGAAGAGGAGGAGGAGGAGGAGGAGGAGGAGGAGGAGGAGGAGCGGGAGGTGGCAGCGTCAGACGAGGACCCGGAGGACCCAGGAGTGTGGCCGCGCCCCCCACACGCCACGCCCGCAGGTTCGGGAGGGCCCTCGGGCGTGCCGGGCTGGCCGCGCTGCACCCGCTGCTCCGGGACATGCAGCAGAGGCCGGCCGGGCCTGCAGGGGGCATCCCCTGCCCGGTCGTGTTGTTGCCGCATCGCGCCTCACGCTCCCTCCTTTTCCCAGAGGGAGGGGGGACGAGGGAAAGAGGAGGACAAGGAAGAGAAAGAGGAGGTGGAGGAGGAGGAGGAGGAGAAATGAACAACAAGGAAGAGGTCGCAGCTCACGGCTCGGTCTGACGCGCGCTGGCGCAGCGAAGAGGAGGAACGGTAGCAGCACGAGCAGAAGCGAGATCAGAACGAGCGAAGATTGATTCCCATCACTCCTCGTCCTTCTCTTGTCCCTGCTCCTGCTGCTGCTCATTCGCCACGTCATCCTCATTACATGTCTTCCGGCCTGCGTCATATGTCGCGTTTGGATCCGCATGGGGCAAGTCCTTCCACCCCCCTTCAACGCCCCCCGCCCTGCTCTATGCCTACGTTCCTTTCACTTCTCTCCCCCGTCTTCTCCTGTCCAACATTAGAAAGCGATGCCGACCAGCAGCCCGGAACTCAGAGTCAAGGGTTTCGAAGCTCGCTGAAAGGCTCGCGGGCTCTGGACTCATTCCAGAAACCAAGATAAAGTGACAGTGTCGCCCCTCTGTGACAGAAGGGACCATTTGCGGAGGAGCAGAGGCCCTTTGTGACAGAAGGTCTCGGCATCCCGTTCCCCCTCATCTTGCCTCTCGACATGATATCGTTCGTGATATTAAGAGCGATATGTCTGCAACATTCGGCGCTTATCATCTTCGCGTTCGTGATCCGTGTCGTGCTGTTCCAGCAATGGACCAACAATGCGGCGCCGGAAACCCGCAGGAGGCCCTTGCAGAGCCTCCGCAGGCCCTGGCAAGGCCTCCGCGCGCTTCCGAGGCAGCGGGGGCCCCCGCAGCAGCGGCGCACGGGCCTCCGCAGGTCTCTCGGACATCGGCCTCCTCAGCAGCGGCCTCCGCAACAGTGGGGGTTGGGGCTGCAAGGGATGCTGCGGCTTTACCCATCGAGAGTGCTCGCTTGCCAGGAGAACGCCGCGCGGCCCCGGACGACACGTCAGCAGCTGATGGACAGAGGCCACGTCGACCAGGCCGCGGCGGCTGATGGTCGGCGCAACCGCCGCTCGACTCAAAAGCCACGGCGATCAGCGCGGCGCCGAGCAAGACGTCGGCGCCAGCGCCTCGCGCGGCTCGCAGGAAGTGTTCGAGCGCGCCTTCGCGGGCGGTCTCCGCGAGGGGCGCGAGCAAGGCGACCGCGCCCAAGGGGCGTCGCGGCCACAAAGATGGGCAGACGCAGGCGAGGACGGCGAGCACGACTGGCCCGCAGCTGGCGATGGAAGGTCGCGGCGGGGTGGGGGGAAGGATGTGGGAGGGAGGGGGAGGGAGGGGGAGGGTTGGCGGGAAGAGCGAGGATGACGAACAGGACGAGCAGGACAAGGGATGATAACAACGAGCGGGATGAGAAATGTATCTACAAAGCCGTCCCCGAGGCTGCGGCAGGCGGCGCAGTGGCCATCTCCAGGGCCTTCGCCGCTGGAGCAGACGCAGGCGTTGCCGCCGCAACGGCCCTGGGGGCCCCCGCAGCAGCGATGGCCAGGGTTGCCAGAACAGCAACCGCAGGAAACGCCACCGGATCATCCTCGAGAGCCCCCGCAGCAGCGGGGGCCACAGATGCCAGAGAAGCAGCCAGCAGATTGGCCTCAAGACCGCTGGCGCGCGGAGGCCTGGCCCGGCCAATCGTGGGCAGGGTGGGAAAGCTGGCGGGGCGAGGGCAGCCAGCGGCCACGGCCGAGCGGCGCCGCTTCCCCGGAGTCGGACCGCAATGTCGAATCCTGGGCGCGGGTCGCGGACGCCCCGGCGCGCGGGGGCCGCCCCTCCGCAGGTGCGGAGGGAGGCCTCATCGGCCGAACGGCACCTCGCCGCCGAGGTAGGCCGCGGCAGCGCACCCTGATCGGCGGCGTCTCGCGCGCGCCCCTGCGCTTGGAGATCGCTGCCCGAGCGGGAGGGGGAAAAATGACAGTGCTGCCATACGCTGTCGTCGCCCCACCTCTCCTGCTTCGTGTTCTTCTCCCTCCCCCTCCCCGGTCCCCATCCCGCCGTCGAATTCTCTTCGCTTCCATCGTCTCCAGTCGCAGCGGGAGCCCCCGCAGCAGAAGAACTCGCAGAACGAACCCTTCTGCGACAGCCGGGGCCCATGTTCGAGCCATTCTCTGGCCGAGGGGGGGCCAGATGACGCATTGTCAGTTGACTTCGCCGTGTGGATTAGTACGTTGCGCTGCGCTTCGCCGTCAGTCGCGGCGCCAGTTTTCACACTCGTGCGGCGCATATCGTCGAGAACTTTGCGCGGCGCCGGCGCGCGGCGCCGCAGGCCCTGGCGCACCGCGCTTCGGCGCGACGCGTTGACCGCGCCCAAATTCCCAAGCGTCAGCGCCCCGAGCTTTTCCTCGGCGCGGTCAACCATGGGCACGGAAATCACGGGCGCGGAGTCCGACAGCAGGGTTTCTTCATTTTCAGCGCGACTCGTTATTGGTGTTGCCGCGGATGCTGTCAAATTGAGACAGCAGGCCACCTGCCCAAAAGCGGTCGCTGCCGATGTTCAACAACATGTGATGTTCGGCATCGAGACGGCTTATTCCGAATGCATTCTGGGTATCTGAATTTCTGAGCCCCCCTCCCCGCGGAACGGGGCGACACGCGATCAGCTCGCAGGGCGCAGCGCGTCGCTGGGGCCGCCGCCGCGACACGCCGAGCAAGAGTTCGCCAATCGTAGTTGGCACTGCGTGGGCTCCCCGTGGTCGTTCGTTTCCTGTCCCGGTGGGCCCTCTCGGATCTCTCCACCCACCAAACCACCCCAACCCAACCCGAAGGGTCTGATTTACCCTCGATTTCTAGTAGGGGGGGGTCCGGGAACATCGAAAAAACACACGTGGAGCCCATACCCCCCCCAACCCGAAATTCGGGTCTTCGGGTTGGGTTGGGGTGGTCTGGTAGGTAGTCAGGATCTGTGGTTCGGGGGTGCGTAGAGGGGGGGCCCAAGGTGGGGTTAGGGAAAGGAGCCCTCCTGCATGCTCAAATTTCTTTCTTCCGGGCCAGTGTAGGGCAACATTTGTTCGAAACCTACTTTCACCCCTACCCACTTTTACGTCCCCCCGAGTGGCGGGTTGGGCGGGGCCGAGGCCGTGCGAGTACCACTGGGTCGACTACGTCGCGTTGGCGGACGCGCTGGCCGAAGCAGGAGGCCCCCAGCGTTTTGCTTTTGCGCCCATCGAGGTCTTCTTCGAACCGACCGAACGCAGTCCGATCCGATGCACATTTCGATTCGATTCGATTTCCCGATCAAATGCGGATCGATCGTGCCCCTCTTTCCCCTACGATGGGTGCCTCGTCGTGTCGACGTGGCGACCGACGTCCCCAGCACAGGCGTTCTGGGTTGAACGCCGCCGGTGGCGCAGAATCCGCCGGTATGGAACGATCTGGCGATCGAATAGCAGCCTTAAGTCGGGCCTGTCCCCCTACAGGAGGATTTTCGACGAACAATAACAAATAATAATAATAATAATAATAATAATAATAATAATAATAAAAATAATAATAATAATAATAAATGAATACTCCAAAAATAGTCTGGGGATTATTTTTTGATTATGTGTTGGCCTTTTGGGGACATTTTTGGTGTATTTTTATTTTTCGTCGAACATCCCCCTGTAGGGGGACACGCCCGACATAGGAGCAGCCGATCGCTCGCAAGGTGGAACGATCCGCGCGGGGCCGGAAACCAGCGCAGCGGTCGGCACAGCTCGAGTTTGCCGCACCCTCATGTGTTCGATCATGGAGCCCCCTTGCTTTAAGTCGGGCCTGTCCCCCTACAGGGGGATTTTCGACTAAAAATAACACATTCCCCACAAATAGTCGAAAAATTGTCCAAAAATAGTCCGGGGACTATTTTGGGTATATGTTTTTTAACCTTTTTGGGGCATTGTGCGGGTATTTTTTTTGTTCGTCGAAAATCCCCTGCAGGGGGACAGGCCCGACTTAACCCAAGAAGCACACAGCCTCCGCTGGTTGGATACAGATTTCGTAATAAAAGGGAGGGGGTCTGGACCCTCAAGGACAAGCCATTTCAGACCTCCCCCGTGGGAGAACCCTCCAAAACATCGTCCCCAGACCCCCCAGGCCCTCCAAGATAGCCTGGAAGAGACCCCCCCGAAATGAGACCCCCCTCCCTGTATTACGAAATCTGGAGCACCCTGTTGCCTGTCGCAGTTCCAGCGCCATGCCACCGGCGCACGCGGCATGCGCTGGGCGAGCCGACCCTCCGAGCCCCGCCCGGGCACCCGGGCAGAGATGCAATTTCTGAGCTCGGTCCGCGCTGGGCTGATCTCGGCATGCGCGCGCGGACGCGCGCGCGTGTGGGCCGCATGGTCGTGTCTGAGAGGGATGCCAGGGCACCTTAGTTGCCTCGATAATTACGCGCTGGCTGATCTCGCTCAGTCCGCGCTGGATGATCCGCGCTCCGTCCGCGCTCAGTCCGCGCTGGCTGATTGTGCAATTTCTGAGCTCAGTCCGCGCTGGCGGATCTCGACAGGCGCGCGCGGACGCGCGCGCGTGTGGGCCGCATGTTGGAGGCCTAGAAATTGGCACCAACACCAACACAGGAAGTTGCCTCCACGTGGGGAAGACGATCCTAGATCTCGGTGTTGGTGGCAATGTTTTTCGGTCACCTTGGAAGCGACAATATTACCACCGTCACCGAGATCGGGATCCTCTTCCCTCGGTGGAGGCACACCGCCGATCTTGGTGTTGGTGTCAACCTCTAGGCCTGCGAGCATGGTCGTGTCTGAGAGGGATACCAGGGCACCTTAGTTGCCTCGATAATTGCGCCCGTTTTGAAACGCAAGACGTCCCGTGTTCAAGACGTCCGTGTCAATACGCTGCGTGTTGGCTCCACGTATTGGGCCACGTGTTGGCGAACGTATCGCGTCGGACCCACGTTTTCAGCCTACGTGTTGAGCTCCGTATCAGTACGCTACGTGTTGCGTGTTGCGTATCGGGGCAGTTTAGCAGGACACATGGTTTCCAGGTGGCCTGTGAGGAAGTGCGCGCAGCACGTCCAACAGTTTCCCCAAGCGGTGTTTTCAGCTGGGGGCCATCACTGGCAGCCTCGAGCAACTGGGCAGGACTTTCCCGGTTTTCGGGAGGGAGGAGGAGGAGGAGGGGGAGGAGGAGGAGGAGGAGGAGGAGGAGGAGGAGGAGGAGGAGGAGGAGGAGGAGGAGGCGCGTCTGACGGGTTTCGAGGGTTGTCGGCCCTTGCCCCGCCGTGGGTGACTTGTGGGCGCCCCGTGCGCTGGCGTCCGTGCCCGGCCGTGGGCGCCACGGAGCCCCAGCCTTTCTTTGGTAGACGACCACCACAGCGTGGACCGCACATGCTTCGGGCCGGACGAATTTTGGGGGCGGCAAAGAGGGGGGTGATGAATAGGGGGGGATGGATATCATGGCGGGAGCCATGATATCTCCCCAGATCTCATGGCGCCTCTTCTTATTTTATTACGTCCCTGGTCCCCCCGCTGGGCCGCGCACATGCCGCCTGTCATGGGGGGGATAGGGAAAGGTCGGAGGGGGATAGACCTACCCCGACACGTCGATCAAGGAATCGGCCGTCTTCGGTGCGTGAGAGGGCGTCGCGGCCGTCATGTTTGCGGGTCCAGGTCCGTCGGTTTCGGTCCCAGGCCGTTTGCACTAAGGGGAGGTCTACTAAAGGGGGGTGTGGCCATCGCCGAAAAGGGGGGTTACGAAATCTGCTGCTTGCAGCTGGTTTCGGCCCCACCGAGGGGCCCATTCCTCGATACGTGGGCGCCTTCCGGCGCCGGGAGGCGCCGGGGGCAAATGAGCCACGTGAGCTGATTCTCCCCCCCCCCCCCTTTGCTAATTATCCCCCCCTCTCGCCCGGCCCGAGTGGTGCTTGAGGCCGTATGCACCACTCAGGGTGCGCCGCACAGCTTGCGCCGCACAGCCTGCACCACGCAGGCTGCACCAAACACCTCATGCCATACAGGCCGCACCACGCGTGTGCCGCAACTTCGCGTTCACCAAACAGCTTGCACCATATACACACATGCTATATATATATATATATATACATAGCGCCGCACAGATTGCACCGCACAGCTTGCACCACGTAGGCTGCACCAAGCACCTCGCACCATGCAGGTCGCACCACACTTATTGCGCAACATAGTGTGCACCACGCTGTTTGCAGAATGCATGTTGTACCACCTAGAGGCTGCACCACATACCTTGCACAACATGTATTGTACCACATAGCCTGCATCATATAGGTTGCACTGCACCGCACAGCCTGCACCCCATGGTCTGCACTTCATAGGATACAACACACTACTTGAGCCGCACGGCTTGCATCATAAAATTGACACTCCCAAAGTGCAAGCACTCATGTTTTGTTACCCACGTTGGCAAACGCTTGCGCAGAACAAGTGATTGATCATATGTATTTCAAGAGCTTGATTTTGAAATGCAAAGGACAAATCATTGTTGTATTGTGTCGACATTCGCGCGTGGGGAGCACAAGTGTGTGGGGGGGGGGCATGGCATTATATTCGATAGCTGCTGCGAATCGCGTTTCTGAAATCAATGCGTGCATACCGGATTGGATTGCGAAGGCCTTACGGCCGGTGCCGCCGACATTGAAGAGGAACGACGACGACGACGACGACGTTGACGTGGGTCAGAGTCCTCAGAGATTCAGAATTCAGGGATGCTTGTTGGGGTCGGAGCGCTCTCGGGTGCCTCTGGGGGGCAGTTTGGGTTCTTCTTGGGAGTCGCTTGGGGGCCGCTCGGGAGCCTCTTCGGGTCGCCGCCGCGGACGCCGCGCGCCGTCCGACGCCGAAGAAGAGGACGCAGACATGATCGCGTCGGGAAAACAAAATCGGGAGCCTCTTCGGGAGGCTTCCTGGGGGCCCCCTGATGGCCTCACTGGGCCTCTTGGGGGCCTCTTTGGAGCATCCTGGGAGCCACTCGGGGCCGACGGCTCGAAGTGTGCGCTCGGGTCCCCCGCCTGGGCACCCGCTTGACGTCGTCTTGGGGGCCTCTTGGGTTAGGTCGGGCCTGTCCCTCTACAGGGGGAATATTCAAAAACAGTTAAAAGATACTCTGGAGACAATTTTTTGACTATGTTAGGGCATTGTTGGAGCATTATTGGGGTATTTTTTGTTTTTCGCCCAAAATCCCCCTGTAGGGTGACACGCCCGACTTAACTCTTGGGCCGTCTACGAGGCCTCGTGGGCCGTCGTGCTGCAGTGGTCGGTTCGACTTGCAGCAGTGGCAGCCCACTTGCAAGGCGCCTGCAAGTGGGTTGCAGGGCGCCTCCCTGCTCTCGGTATGGGTAAGTAGCGGGCCCAACTTGAAGAAGCTAGGTGGACTTGCAACCCACTTGCAAGTGCCTTGCAAGCGGGTTGAAACCACATTGCAACCGCTTCAAATTCACAGCAATCACTGGAGCGGGGCCCTCTTTGGTCGTTTCGGGGCCTTCTTGGAGGCCTCTTGGGACGATCTTGGGGGCATCTTGGGCCGTCTTGGAGCGTCGGGAAGCCGAAAAGGCGAGAACGCCAACATTTGCAACAACAAATTTGGGTACTCAATCCAGTTTGCCTCTTGGGGCCCTCCTGGGAGTGCTCTTAGAGGCCTCTTGGGGCGTCCTAGAGGCCTCTTGTGCCGGCTGGAGGCTATCTGGTGCGTCTTGGACCGATCGTTCGGCGATTCAGGGCCCTCTTGGACCGTCTCGGGGGCCTTTTTGGGCACTCTTGGCCCGTCTGGACACCCCGGGATACCCAGGGAGGCATGGCGTTCTAGGGGCTTCTTTTCGACTCAACAACGACTTTGCTCACTTTCGCTTTGTTTGCCGCACTCGAGGGGGAGGGCCCAGGGAAAAGGGGGAGCGGCAACCGACGACGAGTCAGACGAAACAGCGTTTCACACACGCCGACATATTCGGCGGATTGGCAGACAGGGGTGGCGGGGGCAGCCGATCTGGTTTGGTGGGCGTGTTATGATTGCGCATGTGGGATGAGCGTTCATGCATAATGAATGTGTAAAACAGTATAAGGAAGGGTGGTGGTAGAGTCTAATGATTTGTACCAGTTAGGAGCATGGTACCTGATGGTGCAAGGTATGTTGTGGAAGCTCTGTGGTGCAGCATATGTTGTGCAAGCCATGTGATGCAAG